TTTCATCTGTTTTTCCCTTCAAGACCCCACCTTCCTCAGAACTCACACGCAGTAATTACTCTTTCAGTCTCAAGAAACACAAAATGATGGAAGAGATCTGTCTTCCGTATTTCCATATTTTCAGAGCAATACGTAGAACCCCTTTAACCAAGACTCTTTCGTCTAAGTAAGGCCCTACCCATCAGCTCCACCTCTTCCTTCCTCTGCACTGGCAGATAAGATGGTGAACGACTCCAAGCCTCCAAATTCCCCTTCCCCTTGATCATGTATTCTTAATAGAGGCAAAAACTGGTTTTGGGGGGTTGAGGGGGCTCACAATTGTTTTATGTATAAAACACAGATTTACCCAGTATGTGGAGTTAAATAGTGTATCCATGATATTAAGCTTCATGGATGGGCATGGGCAGTGAGAAAACTGTTTAAAATGGCTCCTTGAGAAGGTGATAATGGAAAGAAAAAAGGTTGCAAGTGAGTGACCTAGACAAGAACTTCAAAACTAGAAAGTTTCAGATGAGTTACTGTGGTGTCGAGGCCGTGATCTAAGAACTTGGCATGACTGCAACTCGAAGCTGGTTGCCTCTGGTGACAAGTGGCTGCTTTCTTCTGTCTACTGTGTCATTTATTGCCAACTTGAAGAAGGTTGGGAAACACTGCCCTAGAGCTATGACTCTATCTGCCTTTCTGAGAGGACTGAAGCTGTCAGTTGCATGCCCCTTCATTTTGTTCTCATCCCCCCATCCTCAGATCTCTGTATTTATACTTCTTGCTCTTCAGGATTCCTCGGCACATTGAAGTAAGGTGGATCCTTTCTTCCCCAGGATATTTTGCAACCCATCATTTCAAGGACCTTGCTCCATCATAATTCCCCATCTTTTACACATCCTTAGTCTTTCTCTCTGTTCTTCCTTTGCCTCCTTGCCAGCATACATATTCACATCTCTCATCTTAGAAAAGGTTTCTCATTTGCACTTCTGGCCTCAGAACTTCCAACATTAATTTATCTTCACTATCAGTCACTTCATAAGGACTCTAAAAGTGCTCCTTTAAGATTTTAGTTGTTATACTAAGTATTTAGTAGATAGAAAAATATAAGGGTACTTCTAAAAGTTTGTGGAAAAGTAGAATTAAAAGGTATGTTCAGGTGGAGGAATCCACCATTATGGTGGGGGCAGCGCCTATAAAACTGTACTACATAATACAATGTAAGCAACAATAAAAAAAAAAATTAATTTAAAAAAAAAAGGTATGTTCATTTTGGTGCAAAAAGATTTAGAATCTATGTATATAAAACGTTTTCAAAAAGTTCATTGGAAAATGCATACTATGAATTCAAACATTTCTTCATTAAAAAAAAAAAGATATATCAAATGCAACACAAATCTCCGTTTCCAAACAAAAGATGGACTCCCAATGAAAGTGTTGGACATATCTAGACAATGGGATGATGGACTGACACTGTCTGTACCAGCAATGTCAGGGCACACTTAAATAGCAGACTGATGGAATTGTAATTCCTTATGAAGAGTTGTGACATTATGGGAAAAATCAATCGGGGGGTGGAAATTGGGGGTAGGGGAATCCCAGACTATACAGAATTGTACGATAAATTTCAAAAATAAAAGTTAAAAAAAATAAATAAACATTTAAAATATGTATCTATTTATTTGAAAAGCACAGTGACAGAAAGAGACAGACAGACAGGGAGAGACAAAGAATGAGCTTTTTCATCTGCTGGCTGACTTTAAGTTGGGACTGGACTAGGCTGAAGTGAGGACCTAGGAACTCCACCCAGGGCTCCCACTTGACGGGACTCAGGCATTGAATGCTTGTCTGCTGCTTCCCAGACCCATCAGCACAGGGCTGGAAGCAGAGTAGCCAGGACTGGAAGCAATGTTCCCACGTGGACTGTCAGTCTACCCAGCAACAGCTTAGCTCTCCATACCACATCAGCTGCCATCAGTTTCTTCATACTACCTGCTTTTTACAAACATTTTCAATGCTTGTATGCACCAATTCCAATTTTTGTTGCATGCGAATAAACTTGTGTATTCCTGCTTCCGTTTAAGGAGAAGAATATCACATTAACATCTGAAGTGCTCCATGTGCTCCTCCTCAACCCCAAACCCTTCCACCTGCTTCCCCTTCTCTGTGTTCATTTCCCTCTCTTTCTCTTGCTTACTACAGCACACATTTGCATTCTTAAGTATTATGGCAACTTTCATGCTTTTGTACTCCATTGAAATAATTTATCATATATTGCTTTCTTAAGAGTCATCCTGGCTATCATCTGTGTGATAAATAATTCATTCGTTTTATTGTTCATAGTATTCTAACATTATATCCTTATTTACTTAGCCTGCAGCTCAACTGAACAATAAAATGATTTCCTAATTACTGAGTAAATGGTCCCTCTTGAATTATCCTTTTGCCTACAAAATATTTACTTCATGGATCTTTTCTTTAACCTTCTCTGGTTTTTTATATAAACATATTTTTAATTTAATGAACCCATATCAATCATTCTCTTAAAATAAACATTATTTACTTTTAGTTATCTGAAAGGCAGAGAGAAAGAGAAAGATGGAGATGAATCCTTCGTTCTCTGATCATCCCGCATTTGCTCTCAACAGCTGGGACAGGGCCAGGTTAAGCCCGAACCCTGAACTCAATCCAAGTCTCCCACCTGGTGTCAGGGACAAAGCCCTTGAGCGATTCCACCGCTTTCAGGGTGAGCAATGGCAGGAAGCTGGAAACAGAGTGGAGCCTGGACAAGAACCCAGGCACTAGGACAGGCAACGTGGTGCTCCAAGTGGCATCTCATGGGCTGTTCCTAACTCTCCTTTAACATCAGAACTCTCATGCAAATACTTGCTCCTAGCAAATGGGCTTTGCGGATACAGCCACAGAGGTGAAAATAATGAGAAATTAATTCCAATCTCTAGCTACAAGAAGGATAAATCATTAAGAAAAGTAGTAAATGTTGCCACCAGAGTCAATTTTTTTTATACAAACAGGAGAAACCCATTTTCTATTTTTGCTTTTTAAATGAACCTCACCAGTACTCACTGAAATATATGAATATTTTTGTTTACAGTCTAGGAAGTGTTATTTAAAGACAATTTCTCAGACTCTGTGACACCTAGTTTGCAGTAATACTAAGTATGTAGCTTAAGTTATGCATTTATTCATCTGACAATTACGACATCTTGAAATGTGGCAGGCACTATTCAGAGTCAAAAGAGAAAGAAAATTATCATACAAACTCAATACATATTATAATAAAACTGCTCAAAGTATTCTGCCTAAGTATCTACTTTGCAAAAGAGGTGACATTTTAATTGGGTCTGGATAAATGAGCAGAATTTTGTAAGCAAGAAAAGGGAAATAAGACAGCAGAGAGAACAGCAGGTGCAAAGACATGGGGCACAGAACAACACAATGTATTTGAGAAATCATAAAAAATTCAAAATGAGAACTTTGAAATTAATGGAGTGTTGGGGAAATGAGACTAAAAGAAGCAGACTTTAGAGCAGGTTGGGTTCAATACATGATGGTAAATAATTTATACCTATCCACTAGGAAATTAAAAGCTAACTGTGATTTTTAAGCAACCGGGGGTAGAATCTGCTTTGTTAGGATAAAAAATAACTGTTGGCCTTATGCAGGACAGAGAAGTAAAGGGTAAGAAATGGGGCAGGGAGGCAAATTTATGGAGTTGTATCAGGAGAGATGATAAACACAACCAGGAGTGACAAAGTGTTGAGACTAATTCACAAGTTACTTCAAGAATCAGAGTAGAGATTATAAGAGAGAGGGAGTGTGTGGCTTTGGGATGTCTTGTTTGGGATCCTGGGTAGATAATACGATTAACTGACACAGGAGGAGAAAGACATTTAAGAGAAGACAATGAGTTCACCCAGGAGTGTAGTCTTTCACATGCAAATATTCAATTCCAAGTATGGATCAGGAAAGAAATGCATGTGTCAAGTCTAGAGAGTTAGAAAGCTGAAGCCAGATGGCAAGAAGTGGTTCTCAAACGTTGTATGCATATTCAATCCTGCTTACCCATGCTTTCTGCAGATCAAAAATACTTGGTAAAGGGCTAGCATGGTGGCACAACAGCTTAAGCCACTGTCTGTGACACTGGCATTCATGTGAACACTGGTTTAAGCCCTGGATACTCCTCTTTTGATGGAGCTCCCTGCTAATGTGCCTGGGAAAGAAGCAGATGCCTCTAGTGTTCAGGTCATTGCCACTCACATGAGAATCAAACTCGGGTTCTAGGATCTTGGCTTTGGTCTTCATGTGTGTGTGCTTATCCTTCTATATGTGTAACTCTTCCTTTCAAATACACGAATAAATCTTTTTAAAAACAACTACTTGGAAAGAAAAAATTATTCCTGTACTGAACATGGAATTTTTTGTTCTTGTCCTTTTTCCCTAAACAACACAGTGTAATAACTTCTATATAGACTTTACATTGTCTTTACATGAGCTGGGGCATCATAAATAATCTACAGATGATAAGTACATGAGCACATGGGCACATTAAATAGAAACAGCACAGTTTCAACAAGGTACTTCAACATGTACACAATTTTTTTTTAAATATGCAGAGGGTCCTGGATACAATTCCCCTCAGATATTGAGCGACAATTGTTTCAGAAGCAACTGCTGGGTACCACATCAGGGCCTCTAATTCAGGCTCAAAAATCCCCACCACCACCTCTTTTTTTTAACATGTTTTTATTTGAAAGTTTGAACTCTTACGTAACTGTATCTATCTCTACGTAGCTAGTTAGCTACAGATATAGAGGTCTATATAGATATCTACATAGGTATATACATATATGTACATGTGTGCATATATACATTTACATATATGCACACACATCTGGGGAGAAAGAGAGATAGATTGTCCATCTGTTGATTTACTCCTTAAATCGTCACAAGCACTGGGCACATTGGATATCATCATGAAAGCTGCATCTAACTCTTACCATTAATAACAGGTGTGTAAACAACAATTCCAACCAAGTTTGGATCAGATACAGTTGTATCCAGAATAAGGCCCCCAATGCTGAAAGATACAAAATGAGATCATTTCAAAAGAGGAAAGAGAATGCACTTGGAGTTCTTCTGGACATACAGATATCCTTACTTTATAGAAAAATAACACATGGCTTAAGCAACAGCTCCAGATTCCAGGACTTTAATCCCCAAGATATGATCTTTGTAAAAGTAAGAGAAAATATGTTTTAAACGCATTAAAATATCTGGAAAGAAGTTAGTCCTCCACCTGCAGTGCCAGCATTCCATATGGGTGCCAGTTCTAGTTCCAGTTGCTTCACTTTGAGTCCAGGTCCCTCCTTGCGGGTTGTGAAAGCAGTAGACGATGGTCCAAGGCCTTGGGATCCTGCACCCATGTGAGAGACCCAGAGGAGGCTCCCGGCTCCTGACTTCAGCCTAGCTCAGCTCTGGTCCTTGTGGCCATTTGGGGAGTGAACCAGTGGACAGAAGATCTCTGTCTTTCCTTCTCTCTCTAAATCTGCTTTTCCAATAAAAATAAATCTTTATAAGGGTCAGAAGAACATACAGTAAATTACTCACCATGTAAGTTTGAAAATACAGGGGTTTGAAAGTCATTTTACATTATTCAGAATTTATGGATTTTTAGAACTATGTCATCCAGTATTCTTATACTTTTAAATATAATTTTTAAAAGAGTATCTTTTCATATTTGAAGTAAAAGCATTAGAAGGATGACTGATGTGCTACAACAAGATACAACTAGGGTGTGTCTTGCCACTGGCAAATTAAAATAATTAGCTATAGTCACAAAAGGAGCTGATCTTGTGGCACAATGGGTTGTCAACACCTGCAATACTAGCATCCCATCTGGACGCTGGTTTGAGTCCTGGCTCCTCCATTTCCAGTCCGTATCACTGCTAAAACCCCTGGAAAGGCAAGAGAAGACCCCAAGTGCTTAGTTCCCTGCCACCTTCTGACTCCTGCTTTGTCTGAGCCCTGGCAAGGAGGCCAATAGATGAAATCAATCTCTCTCTCTCTCTCTCTGTATCTCTCTCTCTCTGTGTGTCCCGTGTGTGTGTGTATGTGTATCTTCCCTCCTCTCTCTGTAATTCTGCCTTTCAAATACATACATACATGTATCTATAAAAAGGCAACTAACTCATGCCGTGGCAAACCATACATTCTCAATGTCTCAATGAAGCTTGATATCCTTTTACTTATACATAATTCATTTATTTAAATTGGCAAATTGCATATGTATATGTAATACACAATGAAATGATTAACTAAGCTAGTTAGCATGTACATTACTTGATATTTTTCCCACTGTGGTGAGAATACTTCTCAGTAGTTTTCTTTCTTTCTTTTTTAAAAAAATATTTATTTATTTATTGGAAAGGTGGATATACAGAGAGGAGGAGAAACAGAGAGGAATATCTTCCACCCATTGGTTCACTCCCCAAGCGGCAGCAACTGGGTCTCCCACGTGGGTGCAGGGTCACAAGGCTTTAGGCCATCCTCCATTGCTTTCCCAGGCCACAAGCAGGGAGCTGGATGGGAAGCGGGGCCGCTGGGATTAGAACCAGCGCCCATATGGGATCTCGGTGCATTCAAGGCGAGGACTTTAACCACTATGCTATCGCACTGGGCCCGTCTTTCTTTTTTTTAAGAGATTTTATTTATTTTTATTGGAAAGGCAGATCATATTTACAGAACAAAGGAGAGATGGAGAAAGATCTCCCATCCTCTGATTCACTCCCCAAATGGCCACAACAGGCAGGAGCCAGGAGCTTCTTCCAGGTCTCTCACATGGCTGCAGGTCCCCAGGCTTTGCTTTCCCAGGCCACAAGCAGGAGCTGGATGGGAAGTGGAGCAGCTGGGTCATGAACCAGCACCCATATGGGATCTCAGTGCTTGCAAAGTGAGGATTTAGCCATTGAGCCATCATGCTATGCCCTTCTCAGTAATTTTCAAGAAGGTATTAATTATAGCTACTATATTGTACAACATACCTCCAGGACTTATTTTTCTTGTCTAGATGAAATTTCATACCCTTGTACCATAAAATTCAAAATTTCAAATAAAAAATTTTTTAAATGAATGTACAGAGGGGAAAAGAAAGAAAATTTTCGGAGACTTATCTCACAAGTAAATCAGCTCATCAATTCAAAAACCTATTAGAAGCATGACTGGTTTACAAATTTTTATTTGGACCGAAAAAAAAAAATCTCAGCCAGATATTTGCACCTGCATTCTAAATAAAATTGTGAGACTGGTTGATTGCTTACTGTTAATAAAATTGTGATGGAAAATTGATTTTAAAAATCCATATCCTTTGTCCAATACCTTCTCAGTTCCATCCCAGAAATTTTTTAACATGTGTATTTTTAAAAAGTCTGTCAGAATACTGACATGAAAATAGATAAAAGGCTTATGCTTATCTGGACAACAGATTATTAAAAATATGGAATGTTATCATAGCCTATACATACACACAACACAACTGAATTTCATTCATCAGGGTTGTGAGGCTTTGGTTGGAGAGAATTCTGAGACTGGGTATCTCCAAAGAATTTCTGCTTGCATTGATTTCAGTAACTGCTGTCACATTCCTTACCACTGCAGCGAGCAGCACATGGCAACATAAAATGATTAAACCAAGGAATACAACTACGCACATATATGGAATGCTCATACACTTCAATACCAACCTGCTGATAACCATCGCCGTGATGACAGGCTCCCAGCCTGAATGGAGAACTGTCCTTGTGGCTGGATGCTTGGCAGCTATTATAATCCAGATAGGAGTGAGCGCTAAGAAAAACACACCAACTAACGGAGAAACGAAGTAATAGTTCTCTAAAATGAAAAGAAGAAACAACATTTTAATTGCTCATCATTCCTTGTGGGACATGTAAATTACCGCAAGTAACAGTTATCAGATGAAATGATGCCATCAGACATGGAGGCATGCTCCATTTTTTCTATAAAGTTCAAAGACGTTGAGAAATGTAAATAAGGAGAGAATATTAAATATTCTGATTAAAAACCAGCAAGTTAATTCAACAAATATTTGCTATATGTGACTTTCACTGGAATAGCAGTAGCAAGAACAACAACAGTAAACATAAGCTCACATTCGTCCCCTATTTATCAAGCACCAGACTGGATGCTTTGAATTTGTCATCTCACTTCATTATCCATAAAACAAATACCGTCATTTCCACTTTATGAAGAAACTGAAGCTTGCTTTGGAACACAGTGAAGAAGCAGGAAGAGTTGGATGATGACAGAAATGCTCAGCTCCACAGTCAAACAGAACTGCGTGGCATCAGCAATCGAGTCCCAGGGATCTTCCGGTCCTGACATTCCTACAACACTGGCCTATGGACTGATAATAACTACCCAAGCACCAAAGAGAAGGTGAAAAACGAGGCTCAAAAAAACTTATTTCTTCACTACATAACTACTACTCTGAATCCTTAATGCACTAAGAGGGAACATAGAACAGCGTGCCAACTATAATTTGGCTACAATACCTAGTGTTATTATCTGAGTGTTACAACTTATCTTGGACAAGACATTTTACTTTGCTCATCTTCACTTTCTCCATCCATGAAATGCATTCATAACAGTACAAATTTTATGTAAATTAAATATGCAAACATGTAGATCAGCTAAGATAGTGCACTGGTAACATAGTTATCACCACCCCTGGCTTCATCATCATTATTGCTATTAGTATTAATAACACCTTGCAATTTGGGAACCAGTTGGGTAACAGACTGTCAGGACTCTGTTGCACTTCTCTGTGGCAGATGGTCTATTTTGATAATTCCATATTCCTTTCCTATTTTCATTATGCTGTCCTCTAGACAGAGCATTCATATACTTCTATGCCTCACTGATTTTGGTCTCTGCCATTTGTCTTGCTTATACAAATGATGTATACAATATTATAGCAAATTTTTAAATGTGCTTTCAGAAATGACTAGAAGATTTACATGAGTGTGTTTGTATCTCTATTTTCAGATACTAGAAAACTGACAATGCAAGACCATGATTCCTAGGAAAAGGAAAATAAATGAGATAAGCCTTACAGCAGCCCCAGGTTTGTAACAAAAGGCACACAGAGATCATTTGCTCAGGGATGGAAAACTGGCAGGTCCGTAGGCTAAAGCAACAGGAATTTACAGGGTAAAATATTGGAAAAGAATCCATCAGAGAAAGAGTTTGAGAGCTGAATGCTAACCTATGTAAGCATAGGGTAAGTTCCACAAGTCTAGGCCAAGAATAATCAAGGACTTATAAACTGAAAAATTCCCCAGGTTTACAAAAGGCTGGAAGTCATTCGAGCAAGATCCAACCCCCTACAGAGAAGTCGTTTGGAACACTGAGAGCATTCAGTAGAGACCCCAGAAGAGTCACATCGTAGCAGCAGGGCTAGCCCTAGAGTCATGTCTGCACTAAGATCTATCCCAATGAAACTTTAAAGCAGATTTATAAAGCTCAAACTAACCCCCACACAACTGCCTACAAGAACAAAATCCAGCATTCTGTAAAGAAAAAACAATCAAGCACTTAACATCATATTTATAATGTCTAGTATTCAACCAAAAATTATTTTTAAGAGTCTGGAGTATTTGGCTCCATTTATAGACTTAGTTAACACCCTGAGACATTTGTTTACTTTAGACAGTTCACATATATCACAAAAGTTCTCAAGTGCTTAAAAATAATCTTTACAAATTATATAAGCTAAATGTATGAATATGGTAACTAAAGATTTTGAATAAATATTCATAATATACACAAATTTGGTAAGATTTCTATTTAACAATCACAATAACAAGTTAATTACAAATTTAAAAATGAGAGTATAAGACTGATATATTATTTTAACAGGCTACATTCTGAGTATATAAAATAAATATGTACTGATTCTTAAGCCCCAAAACTATTAATCCCAAGTTTAGTTCTCAAATATTTTAATTCTAAACCTCCCTATAATTACACATTGTATATCACTTGAGACAGATATATCATGCTAAACCATTTTTGCTGATATCATTTTAGCTAATTAGAGTTTTATTATCAATATTTCAGCTAAAGGGAGCTGGTACTGTGACCGCATATTAAGGTGTGATAACATCTGCACCCCATATCGGAGTGCCTGGGATCGCGTGCCACGTCTGTTTGGGACACAGCTTTCTCCCAATGTGCACCCTGGAGAGCTGGGGCAGTTTCTGGCTTCTGGCAATGGCCTGGCCTGCCCTCAGTCATTAGGGCATTTGGGGAGTGAACCAGCAGATGAAAGATCTCCCTCTCTCCTTTGCTCTGTCTGTCAAATAAATACATTTTAAAAAGATCTTCTTACATATGACTGAAGATGTTTCAATAAGACAGAAATTCAAACTTTTCTTTTGTTTGCATCAGGTAGGAGTCAGCAACTCTCACAGAGAAAATTATAATTTCTAAGCAAATGTCATTCCTGAAGCTTTGTCTGCATTTGCCATCACATTTTCAAAATAATTATGCTAGCAAAAAAATCACTTTTATACTTTCCTCTATTTAAGGATATATGACTAGTGCTACATTTAGTGTCATTTTCTCTATGATTTTTTTTAAGCGGTAAAGGAAGTATTTGTTTGTTGAATAGCTTCATAGTTCCACTAGCACAGCAAAATATAAATAACATCCCAGTGAGGAATTATTCCTGTCTCCTAAAACTAAAGTTTTCCACAATTTCTTTGTAAGACCAAACAGGAAAAGCGTTGAAATCTACTAAACACAATTGAAATGAAGTATTCTGCAGGTTAGATCACCTCCATTCTCATGCCAAGTTAGGAGCTTTCAAGAAGACATCCTTCACATTAATTCTGGGAAAGACACCGGAAGCTGAACACCAGCACCCACTGCCCCAATCCCTGACTCAGTGCCCTACGTTTTCACAGGAGGAGGAAAAATTCATAGGAAGCTAAAAATAGTGAGTTGGAAGTTCCTAAAAAAGTTAAACAGGATTTAATTTGAACCAGAAATTCTATGCCTAAAAAACACCTGAGAAAAGCAGAAAACTACGCTCACGTAAAATTTTTAAGTGAATCATCATCACAGTATAGTCTATAATAGCAAAAAAAAAGAGAGAGGGCAACTTAACATGTATCAAATGGTGAATACATAAACAAATGTGCTATGTCTAGATGACAGACTGTTATTCAGCACTATATATATAACCCATATATAACCCAGTACTGATTCATGCTGTGACGTAGGTGAATCGTGAAGACAGCATGCCCAGTGAAAGAAGCCAAACATAAGCTGTCGTATACCATACAAATCCAATTCTGTGAGATGTCCAGAATAGGCATATCCAAAGAGACAGAAAATAGGTTTGAAATTGCAACATGCTTCCTACACTCTTGGTGGGAGTACAGGTTAGTACAATCACTAAGGAAGTCAATATGGATCATCGATCCATATGACTTACCTATCCATTTCTGGGAATATATCCAAAGAAAATGAAATCTGCATGTGAGAAAGTGACCTGTAATCCTATATTTACAGCAGCACAATCTACAATAGCAAAGACATGGAAACAACCCAGATGCCTGTCAAAAGAGGAGTGGATAAAGAAAATACTCTATGGAATACTACACAGCCATTAAAAAGCATGAAATTCTACCATGCGCAACAGAATGGTCCCTACTACAGACCATTATGCTCAGTGAAATAAGCCAATCCCAAAATATCATGTATTCTCTTTGATATAAGGCAACCTTCACACAAAATTCAACATCGGTAGGTACATAGATAAACATGTGTGTACACATAGTCATCCAGAGAAACAGACTTCATATCAAGAAATGAAGATACATGAAGTATGCATCTCTACTTCCAAATCAAAAATGGTCTCCCAATGAAACTATTGACGATAGGATGCTGGACTCTCTGCCACTGTCTACAATGTCAGGATACACTTATAGCAGAATGATGGATTTATGACTATTTTTGAAGGACTACGCTAGAACGTATAATTGTCATCTTACATGGCAGAAGGTGCTTCCCAGGTGTGATTAAGTCAAGGTTATGGAGATGTGACTATTATCCTTGACCATGTGGATGACAGCACGAGCAAGGTGAAAGGGCCTTCACTGCAGAAAAGGAGAAGACAGTGGGGTCACGGATGCAGAGACTGCAGGAATGCCGGAATGCCATGAGGAGTCAGGAACCACAGAACAGGGAAGAGGCAGGACAGATTCCTCCTTGAAACTGCCAGAAGGAATCAGCCTTGGCAGAACTTCGATGTTTGTAATACCTAACTCATGTTGGCTTTCTGGCCTCCAGAACTATAAAGAAATAAACTCTTACCATTTTAAGACACAACATTTGTGGAAATTCATGACAGCAGCACAGAAGAATATAAAATCAATAAAAGTATGTAGAACACTTTTTGGAACATTAAGTTTAAAAAAATGTCTCTGTAGATTAGTATCATACTCTGTGATACTGAAAAATCGCAGGAAAAAAGGAACACAGTGTTTCACATTGCTCTGACTCCACTGAACTCACAAACATAACCGCCCCTGGGTGACTCACGGCCGTCACCTTTTGTTGCTCTTTGTGGCATTTTCCAACTGCTACTGCATCATTTCATTAACAGCATGCCCTATTATCATTCAAATTTCTTCTGAAATATGTAGCTGTTCTGAGTCACCATTTTTATGCTATCATTTCTGTGTGTAAACAAAGTGATGGACATTGTAAGTTGCAAACATTTTTCACTAAATGCCCATAAAAGCAATAATATTTTCTCAGGATACCAATATTCTAGAAATCACTCTGAACGAAGATGGTCCAGG